AAGGGGCCAGGCACAAGTGGCTCACACCTGTAATTCCAGCACTTTGGGAGGCGGACGCGGGTAGATCACCTGAGGTCAGGCGTTCCAGACCAGCCTGGCCAGCATGGCCAAACCCTGACTCTATTAAAAATACAAAAGTTAGCCGGGCATGGTGGTGGGCGCCTGTAATCTCAGCTACTCTGGAGGCTGAGGCAGGGAGAACTGCTTGAACCCAGGAGGCTGCAGTGAGCAGTGAGATTGCACCACTGCATTCCAGCCTGTGCAACAGAGTGAGATTCTGTCTCAAAAAAAAAAAAAAAAATGAGCAAAGGACTAAAATACACACTTCTCCAAAGGATATATACAAATGGCCAATAAGCATATGAAAAGATGCTCAACATCATCAGGGAAATACAAATCAAAACCAGAAGGATATACTACCTTTGATATGGTTTGGCTGTGTCCCCATCCAAATCTCATCTTGAATCCCATGTGTTGTAAGAGGGACCCAGTGGGAGGTAACTGAATCATGGAGACAAGTCTTTCCCTTGCTGTTCTCAAGACAGTGCATAAGTCTCACGAGATCTGACGGTTTGATAAGGGGAAACCCATTTCATTTGGCTCTCTCTCTCTCTCTCTCTCTCTCGAGGCTGCCATGTGAGACGTGCCTCTCACCTTCCACCATGACTGTGAGGCCTCCTCAGCCACATGAAACTGTAAGTCCAATAAACCTCTTTCTTTTGTAAATTGCCCAGTCTCAGGTATGTCTTTATTGGCAGCATGTAAATGGACTAATACAGTAGACTGGTACCAGTAGAGTGGGGTGCTGCTGAAAAGATACCCAAAAATGTGGAAGTGACTTTGGAACTGGATTAACAGGCAGAGGTTCAAACAGTTTGGAGGGCTCAGAAGAAGACAGGAAAATGTGGGAAAGTTTGGAACTTCCTAGAGTCTTGTTGAATGGCTTTGCCCAAAATGATTATAGTGATATGAATAATTAGGTGAGGCTGAGGTGGTCTCAGATAAAGATGAGGAACTCACTGGGAACTGGAACAAAGGCGACTCTTACTATATTTTAGCACAGAGACTGGCGGCATTTTGTCCATGCCCTAGAGATTTGTGAAACTTTGAACTTGAGAGAGATGATTTAGGGTATCTAGCAGAAGCAATTTCTTTTTTTTTTTTTTTTTTTTGAGACGGAGTCTCGCTCTGTCGCCCAGGCTGGAGTGCAGTGGCCGGATCTCAGCTCACTGCAAGCTCCGCCTCCCGGGTTTACGCCATTCTCCTGCCTCAGCCTCCCGAGTACCTGGGACTACAGGCGCCCGCCACCTCGCCTGGCTAGTTTTTTGTATTTTTTTTTTTTTTAGTAGAGACGGGGTTTCACCGTGTTAGCCAGGATGGTCTCGATCTCCTGACCTCGTGATCCACCCGTCTCGGCCTCCCAAAGTGCTGGGATTACAGGCTTGAGCCACCACGCCCGGCCAGCAGAAGAAATTTCTAAGCAGCAAAGCATTCAAGAGGTGACTTGGGTGCTGTTAAAGGCATTCGGTTTTATAAGGGACGCAGAGCACAAAAGTTTGGAAAATTTGCAGCCTGACAATGCAATAGAAAAGAAAATTCCATTTTCTGAGAAACTCAAGCAGGTTACAGAAATTTGCATAAGTAACAAGAAGTCAAATGTTAATCCCCAAGATAATAGGGAAAATGTCTCCAGGGCATGCCAGAGGTCTTCACGGCAGCCCCTCCCATCACCAGCCAGGAGGCCTAGGAGGAAAAAGTGATTTCAGGGTCCAGGCCCAGTGTCCCTGTGCTGTGTGTAGCCTAGGGGCTTGGTGCCCTGCATCCCAGCCACTCTAGCCATGGTTGAAAGGGGCCAACATAGAGCTTGGGCTGTGGCTTCAGAGGGTGCAAGCCGCAAGCCTTAACTGCTTCCACATGGTTTTGAGGCTGCCAGTGCACAGAAATCAAGAACTGGAGTTTGGGAACCTCCGCCTACATTTCAGAAGATGTATGGAAACGCCTGGATGCCCAGGCAGAAGTTTGCTGCAGGGGTGGGCCCTCATGGAGAACCTCTGCTAGGGCAGTACAGAAGGGAAACATGGGGTTGGAGCCCCCACACAGAGTCCCTACTGGGGTACTGCCTAGTGGAGCTGTGAGAAGAGGGCCACTGTCCTCCAGACCCCAGAATGATAGATCCACCAACAGCTTGCACTGTGCACCTGGAAAAGCCACAGACATTCAATGCCAGCCCATGAAAGCAGCCGGGAGGGAGGCTGTACCCTGCAAAGTCACAAGGGCAGAGCTGCCCACGACCATGGGAACCCACCTCTTGCATCAGCATGACCTGAATGTGAGACATGGAATCAAAAGAGATCATTTTGGAGCTTTAATATTTGACTGCCCTGGCCAGGCGTGGTAGCTCATGCCTGTAATCCCAGCACTTTGGGAGGCCGAGGTGGGTGGATCACCTGAGGTCAGGAGTTCAAGACCAGACTGATCAACATGGAGAAACCCCATCTCTACTAAAAATACAAAACAAAAAAACCAGCCAGGTGTTGTGGCGCATGCCTGTAATCCCAGCTACTCAGGAGGCTGAGGGAGGAGAATCGCTTGAACCTGTGAGGTGGAGGTTGCGGTGAGCCAAGATCATGCCATTGCACTCCAGCCTGGGCAACAAGAGCCAAACTCCATCTCAAATACATATATATATATATTTGACTGCCCTGCTGGATTTCGAACTTGCATGGGGCCTGTAGCTCCTTTGTTTTGGCCAATTTCTCCCATTCGGAATGGCCATATTTACCCAATGCCCATACCCCGAAATTAGGAAGTAACTAATCTGCTTTTGATTTTACAGGCTTGTAAAATGGAAGGGACTTGCCTTGTCTCAGATGAGACTTTGGACTGTGGACTTTTGAGTTAATGCTGAAATGAGTCAAGACTTTGAGGGACTGTTGGGAAGGGATGATGAAATGTGAGGACATGAGATTTGGGAGGGGCCAGGAGCAGAACGATACGGTTTGGTTGTGTCCCCACCCAAATCTCATCTTGAATTCCCATATGTTGTGGGAGGGACCCAGCGGGAGGTAATTGAATCATGGGGACAAGTCCTTCCCTTGCTGTTCTCATGATAATGAGTAAGGGTCACAATATCTGACAGTTTTAAAAATGGGAGTTTTTAATAATTAAAAAAAAAAAAATAGGAGTTTTTCTGCACAAGCTCTTGTCTGCTGCCATGTGAGATGTGACTTTCACCTTCCACCATGATTGTGAGACCTCTCCAGCCATGTGGAACTGTGAGTCCAATAAACCTCTTTCTTTTGTAAATTGTCTCAGGTATGTCTTTATCAGCAGCATGAAAATGGACTAATATAACCTCATACCCGTTAGGATGGCTACTATCAATGAAACAGAAAATAACAAGCATTGATGAGGATGTAGAAAACCTGTGCACTACTGGTAGAAACGTAAAGTGGTATAGCCATTGTGAAAAACAGTATGGCAGTTCCTCAAAAAATTAAAAATAGGGCTGGGCAAACCAGCTCACACCTATAATCCCAGTACTTTAGGAGGTCAAAGTGGGAGGATGATTTGAGGCCAGGAGTTCAAGACCAGCCTGGTCAACATGCTGAGACTCTGTCTCTTCAAAAAATTAAAAAATTGGTGGAGAGATGGTGGCACATGCCTGAAGTCGCAGCTACTTGAGAGGCTGAGGTGGGAGGATTGCTTGACCCCAGGAGTTTGAGACTGCAGTGAACTATGATCTTGCTACTGTACTCCAAAGCAAGACCCTGCCTCAAAAAAAAAAAAAGAAAAAAAAAATGTAATTAAAAGTAGAATTACTGTATGATCCAGCAATTTCACTTCACTCAAAAGAATTAAAAGCAGAATCTCAGGCTGGGCGCGGTGGCTCAAGCCTGTGATCCCAGCACTTTGGGAGGCCGAGACGGGCGGATCACGAGGTCAGGAGATGGAGACCATCCTGGCTAACACGGTGAAACCACGTCTCTACTAAAAAAAAAATTCAAAAAAAAATTAGCCGGGCGAGGTGGCGGGCGCCTGTAGTCCCAGCTACTCGGGAGGCTGAGGCAGGAGAATGGCGTGAACCCGGGAGGCGGAGCTTGCAGTGAGCCGAGATCGTGCCACTGCACTCCAGCCTGGGCGACAGAGCGAGACTGTCTCAAAAAAAAAAAAAAAAAAAAGCAGGATCTCAAAGAGATATTTGTATACCCATCTTTATAGCAGCATTATTCACAATAGCAAAAACATGGAAGTAATCCAATGTCCATCAACAAACACACACATAAGTAAAATGTGGTATATCCACACAAAGAAATATTATTCTACCTTAAAAAGAAAGGCAATGCTGACATATGCTGCACCATGGATGAACCTTGAGGACATTATGCTAAGTAAAATAAGCTAGTCACAAGAAGATTCTGTAGGATTCTACTTGTGAGTTACCTAGTCAAATTCATACAGACAGAAAATAGAATGGTGGTGGGAAACGACGGGAAGGAGGTATAGTAAGATGTTGATAAACAGTTGTAGAGTCTGAGTTTGCAAGATGAAAAGAATTCTGGATATTGCTTGTACAACAATGTGAATGTACTTAAGGCTAATGAACTATACACTTAAAAATGATCAAAATGGTCAATTTTATGTTATTTGTACCTTACCACAATAAAATTAAAAAGATTGTTAATAATGAGAACAGGCCTACTGGAATAACATAATTCACTGAAAGTAATAATAATGGACTATGTAAGTTTGCTTAAGACAGAAAAAAATTTTTAAGCCCTTTTAAGAGTTACGATAACCAAAAATAAAAAGAAAACCATGAAATAACCAAATAGGTTTTAATAAATTTATACTGTAAATTCATACTGTAAAATAATTACTGTAATAAATATTTTGACTGTACTATATAGAAACCTCAAATAAAACTGAAATAATATAAACAAAATACGCTCTGAGCAATAAGCTTAATATTCAACTTCATGTTTGCTTCTTTTATTTACCTGGGAGAGAGAATAGTACCAAGTCAGAGGAAGATCAAACACTCTTAGGGCGGCTGTCCTCAATGAAAACTGTGATTCACTTACTGTTTCTTCTGACATGGCTCCTCTTCTAATCTTCATTAAATGAAACATAAAAACATATTAGCCACAAAGATTTCTGGTTACTTTACCAATGAAAGGTACAAACTGAAATTTTAATTCTATCAGCTTATTTTTGCAGTCAATTATTGATGACATTACACTTGAGGTAAAATTATATTTATTAATCACCAAACGCATAAAAGAAAAAATAAGCTATCCTTCCTGTAGGAGATAGCATAAAAAATAATAATAAGTTAAAAAACAAATAAGCTAGATTTAAACTTTGAGTCCAGGTAGCAAATTTTCCTTAGGAAACCGCAAGTTCTAGATTCTCTCTTTTCTGGTTACATAAAAATTTAACATCTTTTAGAGAGTAACTGAAAATATACTGCTTCCCATTCATTTGGTTTCCTTCGTATAACTGCGGGGGTGAGAGCAGGTGGCAGGCAGGTTGCTGAATGGAATCCGGAACAGAATCCTGGGGTTCTGTGAACCTCCGAGTTCACTGACTGAACATCAGAACTCACGCATTTATTCTCCTGTTGTCTCATTTTAAAGATCTTCAAAGAAATGCCACATGCATGCTATATGATTTTGGTATAGTTTTAGTGCATATTATTCCTCTTGAACAAAAAAAGAAAAGTCAGATGAGTACAGAGAAGTAGTTGTCGCACAAAGAGAAGTCATTAACTTTAACATTACATTAAGTGGTTCAGGATCTGGGTTTCAGAGCCAGAAATAATTTTATTATCACTGTACCCAGTTGAACACACATTAAACAAATTTACACGGTATTGATGTATAAACCAGTTTACAAGTTAATCTATTTATAATAAAGAAATACACTATCTAGTGACCAGAATACTTACATATTCTATCAAAACATACCATCCCTGAAATAAAAGACTATAGGAAGCTGAACTAATAAGTCAAAAATGTTGCCTGATGAGTGCAAAAATCAAGAGTCCTGAGGAATATTCCATTCAGGCCAAGAAAACACCTAAGCACTATCTCCAATGCACAAGAGAATGCGCTTCTCTAATAACCACAATGTTGATATCTACCAAATCCATTATTTATTTTATTTGGGTAGTGTTGTATATTACATAACAGAATATAAAAATCACCAACAATCCCTCTATAAAAGTTAATTTGCGGCGGAGCACAGTGAGTGGCTCACGCCTGAGCTACTCTGGGAGTGATTTGGGAGGCCAAGGTGGGTGGATCGCTTGAGCTCATGAACCCAGGAGTTCAAGACCAGCCTGGGAAACATGGTGAAACCCTGTCTACACCAAAAAAAAAAAAAAATTATTTGCTATACTTTTTTTAGGCTCTTCATTTCTGCATATATCTCTGTGTTCTCTTTTTCTGTACTCCAATAGACTATCCCCTTCTGTTAATACCCACCTGTTTTCAGACAAGTGTCAAAACCACTGATTAAGTAGTGGCTTCCTTTAAAATCAAACACAGCAATACCTCTTAGGGTGGGTTACTACTACTGATGCGTCCCTTAATCCTTACTAGAGATACAGCAGTATAAATTTAATTCCCCCTACCTCTAAGTACAACTTTTAGACTCAGTATAGTTTAATTGACATACATTTATTTCAGTCAACAACTTGTGATAGAGACATATGATTAAAAAGTACAGAGGAAACCACGAACAGCTAAGAAAGTGAAAAATGGTCCTCTGGAGAATAAAACAAGGGTATAGAGAAACCGGGCAAAGAATGACTGCTTTTCCTTATAAGTCTGTCTGTAATACTTGATTTTTAAAAATCTGCCTACACGTATTACTTTTTTAATATTACTACAGTAAAAAGGAAGTGGGGGGAAGCTCATTTATTCTTCTCCCTCCCTAAATATTAATACATTTTATTTTGAGAAACATTTTTACTAATTAGAGTCTGGATCATTAAGCAATCTATGCTACTGCATTAAAAAAATATATTGAGTAATTCACCCAAAGTAATTTTCCCTATAATAGAGCATTCCAAATTTTTAAGCAGAATAGAAAGAAAATAAAGCAAACACTTTAATTGGTTGCAGAGATATTCTTAAAAGATTATGACAAACCTAGGCCGGGCGTGGTGGCTCACGCCTGCAATCCCAGCATTTCGGGAGGCCGAGGCGCATCAGTTGAGGTCAAGGAGTTTGAGATCAGCCTGGCCAATATATCAAAACCCCGTCTCAACCACAAATACAAAAAAATTAGCCAGGCATGGTGCTGCGCCTGTAATCCCAGCTACTCGGTAGGCTGAGGTAAGAGAATTGCTAGAACCGTGAGGACGGAGGTTGCAATGAGCAGAGATTGCACCATTGCACTCCAGCCTGGGTGACAGAGCAAGACAGCATCTCAAAAAAAAGAAAAAAAAAAAAAAAAAAAGATTACAACAAACCTCTATTTTTGCATTCTAACTACCTCATTCTTTTTCATTTAAAATTACTGAGGAAGTTGATTCCAAACCTAATCATTATTCACTGAAAAACTAAAAACAAACAAACAAACAAAAAAACCAGTCATTTCAGTTGCTTACAGAAGTATAATAAAAATAAATATGAAGGTAGTTTCATGATTATTCAAATTTATAGAAGGAATCTATAAAATATAACCAAAAATACTGTCCTGTGTGATATTACTTGTTCCTCTACATTCCAACTACTGGGTAATTAAAAATAAATGTCATAAACAATTTGTTTCTTACACATCTTAAAATTCTATCCTACAACTTTGACTTTATAATACAACAGGAAGGAAAGTCTGAAATACCAAAAAGAAAATTGACTTGAAGCACAAATCTATATAACCTAACTCTGAGAAGACACTCTGAACAGAGAAAAATGTTTAGCTGCAATAACAACAACAATAAAACAACAATAATAAAAGTCTCAAAGTCCTGTGCAAAAACAAGCTGAGTCTTTCCTCCGGAAAACAGATATTTAACAACTTTACAGAAGGAACAGACACCACAATACTCCCATCTAAATTTTTCTCTGAAAGCACCTGTAAAGCAACGTAATCTTTCACAACCAAAAGCCACTCCCTGCTCAAAACCACCCGCATCCAAGCCGAACCTGAGACCTCACCAGCTGCCCCATCTCCAGCGCGCTCTCTCCCGACCCCACAGCAGCCCCTCGCGGAGCTCTCCTCTGCTGTCTTCCTTTTTCTTTACCAAGAGGACCAGAAAAGGGGATACCTTCAGCTCGGCCGTCCAGACCCTTCCTCGGGCTCAGACCGATGGCGAGCCCATCCCAATTCCGCGCTTCCTTTGCAGGCCGCCCTCTGGCGTGGGTACCCTCCTACTTTCTTATGCAAGTACTAACCAGGCCCGACCCTGCTTAGCTTCTGAGATGAGACGAGGTCGGGGGTGTTCAGGGTGGCACGGCCGTAGACCCTCTGGCTTTCCGCCGCTCCACCTGGCACTCGGAGAGCTAACGCCGCCGATGGAGTCCGTGCCACCCGTGCCCCGAGGCCTCTGCCCCAACTGCGTGGCCGCCCAACTCTCCGCTTCCTCCCACCCGCCTATCCACCCCACCCCGCCCCTGGCCCTGTACCTGGAGCTCCAGGCCAGGTACAGCCGGCCTGCCCACGCCTGCTTCCCAGCTGCAGCCTGGGGCTGAGCAGCAGCCAGACGGAGAGAAGGCGGAGTCCTTCCGGGGTCAGGAGTAGGAAGGTGGAGAGAAAGTGGAGGGGGCCTTCTGGGCTTTCTGCGTGAGGGGCTACGTGTGAAGCAGCTTCCGCCATTTTTGTTTAGGGTAGAGGCTCCTGCCTCGTCGGAAGGATGTAAAAACTAGATTCGAAGAATTGCATCCTTTTACAAACCGGTCAAAAACTAGTATTGTAGTTTGTAATCTGTCGGGGGATTTAAAACAGTTGTCAATCTGGTGAAAACTATGGAGCTTTTCCCCTGGAAAAAAAAATTCGTGTACACATGCTCATTACTTTAAAGGAAAAAAAAAAAATTACACATTTTCAAAACCCTGAAAACAATCCATGGATCTAAGATTAAGAACTTCTGCCACAGGCCCTCAGCCCTCGAATGAGTGTTAAGAGGCATTCTAATCCTGTATAGAAGATGCATTTATTTTTGATTTCATGTCCTCTTTACCTTTTTTCTGTTTCCCACTGAATTAGGCAACCGAAGAATATTGAATGTAGCAATTTATTGGCAGAGTAGTCACCGCTCTCAGGTTCTGTCTAATACATAGTAAACTAATAGGGGGCCGGGTTAGGAAAAAGTAACAACAACAAAACCCAAGGTACGGTTTCTATGTTCAGTCTTCAGTCAAAACATTCCATCAGAACTGCAGATTTAGGCGAGGCACGGTGACTCAAGCCTGTAAACCCAGCACTTTGGGAGGCCGAGGTGGGTGGATCACGAGGCCAGGAGATCGAGACTATCCTGGCTAACATGGTGAAACCCCGTCTCTACTAAAAATATAAAAACAAAATTAGCCAGGCGTGGTGGCAGGCGCCTGTAGTCCCAGCTACTCGGGAGGCTGAGGCGGGAGAATGGCGTGAACCCGGGAGGCGGAGCTTGCAGTGTGCCGAGATCATACCACTGCACTCCAGTCTGGGAGACAGAGTGAGACTGTGTCTCAAAAAAAAAAAAAAAAAAAAAGAACTGGAGATTTTGGCGGGGCACGGTGGCTCACGCCTGTAATCCCAGCACTTTGGCAGGCCAAGGCAGGCGGATCACTTGAGGTCAGGAGTTCAAGACCAGCCTAGCCAACATGGGGAAACCCCATCTCTACTAAAACTACAAAAATTAGCCAGGCGCCCGCCTGTAATCCCAGCTACTCAGGAGGCTGAGGCAGGAAACTCGCTTGAACCCGGGAGGCGGAGGTTGCGTGAGCCCAGAGAGTGCTACTGCACTCCAGCCTGGGTGACTAGAGTGAGACTCTGTCTCAAAACAAAGCAAAAAAACAAAACAAAAAAACCCTGCAGATTTAAGAATTCTAGTTACTGAGCTTGTTTGTGGTAAAAAGCCAAAATAATTGTTTTCAAAATTCCCATTTAATCAAATGGAAAATAGAATAGTAGTACCAATTTATCATATTATTAGATTAATAATAACTATCCACAGACTAGGTTTTATGTGAAAATATTTGGCACTTATAAGGTAAATGGAGCTCTTCAGATTTGAAAAACCTGAAATTTGTAAGGCTATTTTCATTTATTTTCCCAATTTCCTCCTCTTTCCCATTTCCCACAACTTCCAAACATTCAGCCTAATGGGAAGAGCAGTACTGATGATGACTACTACTCAACACAATTTTCCTGAGGCCACATTATCTCCTTAATTCCACGATAAACATTATGAGAGAAATATTATTACGTGGTGGGTACAGATTTTATTCTTTAGCATGAGAATAAGATATGTCACATTTAGGCCAAGTGAGGTGGCTCGCATCTGTAATCCCAACACTTTCGGGGGCCGATGAGGGAGGATCCCTTGAGGTAAGAAGTTCGAGATTAGCCTGGGCAATAGCAAGACCCCCATTTCTACAAAATAATAAAAAATAAAATATATAAAACAGAAAGAAATATCACATTTAATTTATGTATATAAACCAAATGCAATTTGCTCTAAGCCTCCCTTCTTCTGGTTTGGCAGAGTACTGCACTCAATCTTAGCTATTATTGGATATATTAGTTAACATATTAGCTACAAGTAAAAGAAAACCAAACAAGTAGTGGCTTAAACCAGAAGGACAGGGGACTCAATGTCTTCTGATATTGGGGACAAGGAAAAAAAATTGGAGCCTGGATTAATTCTGAAGGCCCGTACCTCCCCCAGATAACCAAGCCATCGTGTAATGCTCAGTGAACCAGAGAATGGAGTTCATGGAATACGACCAGTTGTTTCTTCTGTACGAGCACTGCAATACATGCTACAGCAACCATTAATGAATTTAGGGGATCCTATCTGCATAATATCAAAACAAAACTGTCAAATTAAACTGCCTGAGTTTGAATCCTTTCTTGACCACTTACTAGAGCCATTGTTAAAGGAAAAGAAACACAAAGCTATTTTTCTGTACTTTCGACACTTCTGACACCAAATGTGTGAAGCCTTTTCCCCACCAAACAAGTCTCCAATTATGTCTTAGTATAAACTCCACTCTTTAATTTAGTATCTACCAACTGGGTGTTGTACAGTTAAATTCAATTCAATACTATGCACCAAACCCTTAAGGGCTCAGTCCTACAAGACTGCCCCCACTTCAGATGACAATTGCA